AAGGTGCTGCTGAGGAATGTGATCCGCCACACGGACGCGCACAACAAGGTACAGCCGGGAGCTGCCCCCAGCTGCCGCCGCGGCGTTGGCGGCCTTCCCCCCAGGCCCGAACGCCTCCCCTGCTGGTCCCGAAGCCCCATCTTGGTGCCGGGGTCTTTCCGGGCCGTGACGCTGTTGGCACGTGGCTGCCGCCGCTGAGCCGTGTCGGAGCGGGTTGTCCGCGCTGGGGTCTTTGGGGCCTGCGGCAGGGCGTAGTTTGGATGTCAGCTCAACCGCCGCAGAGCTCTTGTCGCCTCTGCCCGTTCCTGCTGCTTCGGCGCGCGTCCCCGTGTGTCGCTGTAGCTGACATGTCTGTGCGTTGGACCCCAGACGGCTTCTAGCGCGGGGGCTCACGCGGGCTGTTGTTGAGGGCGGGGGGCGACTTTCACCTCGTGAGTCTCGTGTGAGAGGGAAGCTTCTCCGTGGCAGCTCTGCTCTTTGGCTCGCAAGTTTCCTTTAGCTCAGGTACAAGACACGTTTGTATTCGGTTTTGCTTTTAGATTGGTAAGCCCCTGCTACACATTGCGTATATTGTGCCATTCACTGGTTAACCACATGATAGACTTAGACCAGCAAAGTAATTCCCACCTGATAACGATGACTCTTCAGCTATGAAAAGAGCCAAGCAGCTATAAAGTTAGTGCTTGAAAATGTATAACAACTTGAGAGCTGGTTTCTGTCCAGCTTTCATTTGAATGTGGGGCAGGGCCCTTCGTACTCCTTTATTTGAGCTTTAAGCCAGGCAAAGAATGCTTGTCCGTTCATTTGTCTTTTTATGTTCATGAGGTGATGCAACATGAACTAAAGTTACGTCAAAGCTTTAGGCAGCTGGATGCTGAATTTCCAGGCTTATCGCAGCTGCTGTCTTTGGATCCAGCAACACGATGCTTGAGAGAAATTGTGTGCGTCAGTGTGTTGTATTGAACATGGCGAGAGCCGATGTACGTAGGGAACCTGCAGAAATCCAAATGTAGAGCGAGGCCTGTATGTGAACAGTGCGGCACGACAGTACAAAACAATTAGTTTTCTGTGCAGTTCACCGTGGTTGTAATGTTGCACCTTTTAGTTAATACGGTATGACTAAAAAGCCTTATTTGCATCAGTGTAGCAGGGTGGTTCTGCCTGAAATTCATCCAACTTTGGAATTGCCTCTGAAGAGGTGATACTTTGTGCTTTGTATTTCCAATGTCACGTGTATGAGGTACTTCTATTTGTCTCCTTTTTCTTTTTTTTCCAGATCCAGGAAGAATCAGAAATGTGGAAAATTAGAGAGTGGGAGAAACAGACTCAGGAGACTTACGAGAGGAAGCAAAGGAGAATCTTGTCTGACACATCCAGGTAGGTGGATGAAATTACTCACTTTGTAACCAGGCCACAGCAGCCTCTGTAGTGCAGTACTGATGAATATTTACAAAACGCTTAAGTGACCTGTATGTAAATGCAACAGATGTATCTTCTGACCACTTCTGTGGGCCCTACAGGGTACAGACACACGTTGAAAGAGACCAAATCCTCGTTGAAGTTTCAGATTGCGTGTGTGTGATGATCCAGGCATGCAGCTCTACAGCTGTGTAACTTTAAATTGGCTGGGGCCCCTGAAATAACAAGATTATAATATGGCTTGGAAGTGGTTAGAAAGTTGATGGAATAATTGAAGGAAAAATTGTGCTGTCCTAAGCTGATTGACCTCCTTGGTGCTTGTGCACTGCTATTGCAGTGTGCGCTACAGTGGTTCAGACCCAAGATCTTGCCCAGTGTAAATCTGCCATAGTTCTTGACCACTCTTAATTTTGGGTTTTAAAATAGCAGCAAACTGTGGAGAGTCAGTGCAACAGATTCATTGTGAGCCATCATGGGCGTGCCTGAAAGTCTCATAAACTAAAGTAAGATCAGCCTCATGTGATTGATCTGTAGAGACCTCCAAGGAGTTTGCAAAGCTGCAAGTAGTGGTTTTCTGACTCAGTTCTGCTTTTCTCTTTCAGTCTGGCCTGATCCCCATGCCAGCTTGGCACTTGGCAGGCTCCCCGAGATCATTAGAAGCCTTGGCACCATTGTTTGTTAGATTCAAGCTAACCAACTTCCAACTCCGATAGTTACCTTCTGCCTCCTGCCTCCCCTGATTTCTGCCGGATGCCCTATTCGTCACACCCATTGTCCTGCGTGCTGTTAAGCAGCTGTAGGAATCTGTTCCAGAGGTGGTTGCGCATGAGCTGTGAATGAAGTAATCCTATCCCATCTCTTCAGATTGTTTGGAAGTGCATTGAGAAATTATGGTGGAAGGCGGCTTTGATAGCGCAGGTGGTTAGTTAATCACTGGGCTGGTCCGTGGAACCCGTCTATGTCTATTCTTGGGAGATGTAACTTATACTTTGCATGGGTTGATAGTCAGAGACGGTTGGATCTGTGCTTGTTCCTCTGTGCCCTTTGCATCCTAAATTGATCCACTGCACAGAAAGTCTCTTCGTCAGAATTGCCTGCTGAAGACTACTTGTTTTCTTTTGGCAGCAGTCGGATGCGCAGTGATGGGTTCGATGAAGAAAGCCAAAGAGCTGACTGGAAGACAAAGAACTTTGCACACATTCCTGATGTGATCGAAGAGGATTTCCTTAGGGCCCGATCTTGGAATAAGAAGCTCTACGAATGTGAAGCCAACATGCCGGACAGGTTTGGGTGAAGTACTATTCTGGGTTGGTTCCTGTGTCTAACTGACCTGGCACTTTGTTGCTCTCCTGTCTCTCAAGTTAGTAAAGGTACCCATACCATTTCCTTGCAAAGTAGTATCATCCCTATTACAAATGTCAGTGAGGGGCAAAATGATTTGCCCCGTGTCACAAAGTATCAGGAACTGAGCCCAGATCTTACATTCCAGACTAGTGCCAAGACCTGCTTTTCTGTCTAGCAATAAACATCTGTAACCCAAGAGGTTGTTTAGCAGTGTCCCCAGGCATGAGATCTGCTCCTGATATCATGGTGAGGAGTATTTTTGAGTTAAGGGAAATGCTGATTAGTACTCTAGGGCTATTTATGAGAAACACAAGCATCCTTGAACCTCTTTAGCTGGACTCCTCCTTTCCAGTCACTGGAGCCAGTTTCTTCATTCCTCCATGTGTCTTTCATTAATGCACAAACCCAATCTGTCTTGGCATACTGGCTACCATAAAGTTCTTCGCGTAGCCATAATTGTGTCCTTGAATAGGCCTTGGATGTTAAATTCAGTGGTGTACAGACTTTACCACTGTGATGGAGAACCACATAATTTTGTTTTTCTTTTTTACAAAAGGAATTTTGTGCTGATGCTGTTGCGTATATAATTCACTATGGTGCAGAAGTACTGGGAAAACAAAGGAAATTACGTGCCATGGGGATGTCAGTGGGGTTGAGATTTCAGGTTATTGTCTCAAACAGGGAAAATACAAGGTGATCTCCTGTCCCCCTGTGGATTCTTGACTTGTGTTCTTTCTGAGGCTCCTGGTCTCCAGCACCCTTATTTTCTGAGTATCCAGTCTGTTTCTAATGGAGGTTTCCTGCTGTTTCCTTGCAGATGGGGTCATAGCGGCTATAAAGAGTTGTATCCAGAGGAATTTGACACCGACAGGTAAAGCCATTAAATGCCCAGTGTATTACTGCAGTAAAGCTACACAGAGAAATTTGTATGTCATATTTCCAACATTGATTGTAAATTGACGTTTTGAGACAAAGGAGAATTATTAATTTAGCAAGCCAGTGGCCTGGATAATGCTGATCCGTTACTGTGGGGTTTTTTTATTCAAAAGAGCAATCACAATATTTTGAAGGGGAGATGGGGATTTGTTCCTTAAGGCAGAAAAAAACAAACCTTAAGGCTTAAAGTCTTCCCTTAACTCCTGCCTTGTGCTGTACCATTTCTTCAGAGAGAGGATCCCTTCCTCTTATGAGCCCTGAGCAATCACAGTAGTAGCCATACAGTTTAAGCCCTGAACTAACAGGAACTGAAATGTTTCACAGATGGGTGTTTTCCTCATTGGGCAGTTTCCCGTGTTCCCTAATTTTGGTTGTCTGCCATACCTCTGCTCCTAGAAATGCACAGGGAGCAAAATATATTCCCGTGGGATAGAAGGAGAGCTCCAGCAGCACTGAAATGATTTGGACAAAAATGAAAAGAAGACAAAATAAAAAGGATGGGGAGGAAGCAGGGATTTTTTTTTTTTTTTTTTTTTTTAAATCTCTGCATGGTGGAATTATCAAGTCTAATGCTCACGGACTCGCAAATAATAGGTTTTACAGTATCAGGTTACTTCAGAATATTTGGTTTCCGTGCTTAGTTGAAGTGTCTCTTTGAAGTGGCATCTCCCATGTCATTTGGAGACAAGCTATTGATGAGCTGTGAAGTTAAAAATGCAGCCAGCACATCATCAGACAGTGGAGCCACCTATCTGTATCAAAAGCAGTTTGGGGAGGATGGGACTGATTAGAGCTCAGAAAAGGAAAGTGCCAGTACATGACACTCCGGGGACTCCATTTTTCTTATTTCAGTCTTTGTTCCTGTTCACAGTGACCAGCAGGAGGACGAACACGGCGCTGTCAATGGAAAGAAGAAACTGTCCCTAGGAAAACAATCTGCACACAAGTCCCGCAAAAGGAAGAAAGAGAAGAAATCACACAAGAAGAAGCAGAAAAAAAGGTCACACAAAAAACAGAAGAAAAAGAAAAGGGAGCAAGCCCAGGCCTCGTCTGATTCCTCCCTAGAGAGCGAGTGCTCCCAGGAGGGGGCCTCGGGCACCAAGAAAGGGAAGCGCAGACACAAGAAGAAGTCCAAGAAAGTGCCTGCAAGGAACCCTGCCTCTTCTTCTGGGCAGGAAAGTGACTCTTCTCACCCGAGCAGCTCAGCTACCAGCAGCTCCGAGGAGAGTGAATGTGAGGAGAAAAGGAAAAAGCGGCCTAAGAAGAGGAGGAAGAAGCAACACACATCCCCGTCCGAGAAGCACAGTGAGATCCAGGAAAAGCGGAGCAAGAGGAAGAACTGGAAAGTGGCAGCTGATGAGAAGTCAGAGGAGAGCTCGGATGAGGACTAGTGAGAGGGGGTGACTCTTGGGCTGTGGCTGAACATTGCAGGTTGGAGAACATGGGCCGCCGTTCTGGTCCCAGCATTGCTCCATGGAACGAACATGGGCTGGGGAGACAGAGGTGTGACCTTCCTGTCTGCCTGCAGATCACTTCCCATGGGGTTTCTCTGCTTTGAAATTGGGAGAGCTGAAAGCTCTGGGGAGAAGGTGTCTGTCCCTCGGGTGAGGTCTCCAGCTCGCCCACCCAATTCCTGATGGACTGTTTTTTTTTTATTCCATTGTGACTGTTGAATTTTGATTCATAGAGTTGCCAGAATCTGCAAAAGGGAAATGGGTGCTCTGGCAATGTTCAGCTCTAGAGGTTTTTAAACTAGGATTTCACAGAGGAGTTTGTTCCTCTTTTCATTATTAACCATGTAATGACCAATACAGAGTTGCAACAGAGTGGAGGCCACAGACTGAAAGCCTGCCCCTAAAGCCAGTAACAAAAGAGGTGCCACTGGATGGAGCCACAGAGATGTCTCATGTCAGCATTTTCCCCACAGTGAAATAACAAACATGGCCCCACCTGGGGAGCTGAGGTAAGGAGGCGGCCCCTGGCTGGAGTGTGTGGGAATATGGCTAGACTTGGCTGCAGGTGGGGTGACCCTTATGTAGCACAGAGACCAACGCAGGAGCTCGTTCCAGACTCCTCTCCATTTCCCTGACACCTGCCTTTTCTGTGGGACTGACTTGCCACCCTTCCCATTGGTGGCGTGTTCCTCCGGGTCTGTCTGCTGATGGGACAGGCCTCTGGTGGGCCTGATGGATTTGACTAGAGGATCAGGGTGTTGAGGGGGCTCTTTCTTTGCCTTTACCATCGTTGTGGCCAAGGCCTGGGAACAGAGCAATCTCTGTGTCCTGGAGGTCCTCCTTAGGTTTGATTTTGCTTGAATGCGTAAGGACCTGTCTGCACAATGCCCTCAGTGCTGCTGCCAGGTGTTCCTGCTCTCACGCTAACCTCGGCCTTGCCATGGTGAAGCCACCTCAGGGGAACCCTGCTGGCTGTTCCTGAGCACTCAATTGCCACCGTGCTGGAGTGGCTCCCACAATGGCTTTGCTGTTTTTCCCTAAGTTTGAGGCACGCAAGCAGAGGTGGGCAGGGTGTGCCCCAGGCATCTCCACTAGGACACACCAGGGACAGGGTGTAGGCATTCCCTGAGAGTAAGATGCCGCCACTCTCCTCCCCTGCTCTGAGCAGTCCAGCAGGGTGCTCCAAGGGACTGAGGGTGGAACGGGCTCTTCTATTAAAAGCTCTGCTCATTCTCGGTCTGGGAGTCCACGGACTAATGTCGCCCCTTGGGCCTTTGGTGTCTTGGAAACGAGCTCTACCTGTGGGTGATAGGCAGGGCATTCACAGGCTTCTCCCTTTTTCAGACAGGGCCCCTGGGGCACTTCCAGCTACCTACCTCTTCAGTCTTGGGAAGGTTAATTAGAAGAGCCTTTTGCAGATGAGCACTGTGTAAATGCGAAGTATTATGCAGCTCTAGGTTGGCCTGTCTGAGATCCTGATGGGCACCTCATGAGTCTTACACCATTGGCTTCAGTGACATCGCTCCTGCTTTACCCAGCTGAGAAAGTTGAATTGGGCCCTGAGACTATTCGGTGAGCCGTCTGCTGTCTACAAGGACCTCATCGGGGCTGTGGGAGAAGACAGCGCAGTATCCCATTGGAGCTGAGACAAGAAATGCTCGCTGACGGGGAGCAGACTGCACGTCCGATGGCCCAGAGATTTTCCAGCCCTGCCTTCTGCACACTGCTCGGAGGACTGGTACTGCCAAAGCAAATAAAGAAAGCCTGTGTTGGCCCAGATCCAACATCTTATTTAATTGCCTCCCTGTCTCTGCCTCCAGTGGACAAAGATGTTTTGGCCTTCCCTGCATGTTGGCTAAGGGAGAGAGGGGGAAGTCAGTGGTGTAGCATCTCTAGTTTTTCCTGTGCTCGGACCATGCTCCCTCTGATCTGCTCTCTTCCAGAAGGGTGGCATTTATGGCTTCCTTTCCAGGGATTCAGAGGGAGTGTACAAGCAGCCCTCTCACTTGGGCAGGTCTTGTCTCTTGCTTCCTGGATTCCCAAGCAAGGTTAGCAAATCTTTTCTGATCCAGGCAGCTCACTCCTCTGTTGCAGCCTGCAGTCATGTTTATGCAATAACAATGCAGCAGCTTTTCATTCATCGCCAGAGAAATGTTCAAGAGTTTTATTTTTTATAACTCCTCTGTACAGAGATTTTTAATGAGGAAATGTTCAACTGCAGAAGATACTAGTTTCCCACACTGAACTGGACCCATTGTGGACCTTGTTCTAGGTAGATTTTAGGGGAGGGACAGAGTGTTGGGTCTGAAGCACTGATCCCACTGTGCTGTCCCTAACAACCACTGATGAGAGCACCTAGTATGTTAGGACTTCTGCTTTGATGAGCTAGTCTCTGGGCATTGAACACGATTTGCTTCGTCCTGCTTCATCCTAAGAACATATCCCAAGGGGGTTCCTGCCAGCTCAAGGCGTCTACTCAGGATAACAGGCTGGCCAGAGTGGGATTCAGGACCTTTTACCCATTCTTGGCCACCTCTTCTTTACCCAGGACAATCCCAATTTTGCCTTCCTTTCTACTCCAAGCAGCAGTGTGTGCTGTCGAAACCTCTGCCTGAGCCTGCTGGAACTTTGCTGTGACTGAGTCAGGAAAAGATGAGAGCAGCTCATTGGTGAACATGCCCTTTACTTTCTATCCCTTCTCCCCGCTTGTGAGCTGGAGTGTCTGATTCTGGCAACCTCCCATGTCTTTGGCTGGTCTCCTGCCTCTGACCCCCAGGTTTCCTGCTCTGTATTGTGTTGCACTATCGGCATTGAACATATTTTTAAGTGAATTCTAAAATGGTGCCAGTGTGGGAAGGTGCGTCTCTTTCTGTGAGACTTAAGGACAGAATTTTTAATTTTTGTGTGTGCCTGTGAGACGGTGGGTGTTCACGTTATCAGATAATGTAACAGGTACCAATAGTCTCCAAGAGAATAAATTGGGCTTTTCAAATGACTGCTCTTTGGTTTTGGTTTTTTTTACAGACATGTAAAATAGGAACATTTAGACCATTAAATAAAACTATACCTGCCTTTAGACCTTAATGGCCAAGTTTAGGAGTGTCTGTTTTACTCTGACAGCAGAGAGAGCTCTGCCTTGTTCTGTAACATCCTCTAACAATAACAGTACCAAGCCTCCTGTGCCTTGCAAAAAGATTTAGCCAAACTGATTATAATGAGGATTAATCCAGGGACACTAAGGAGGGTTTGCATTTGTTTATGTAGTTGCAGTACAACTTTGCTACCCCAAAGCTCCAGGCAGACCTAACTGCATTGATTTCACAGCTGGGTTTGTATTTCCAGGGCTTCCCTTGTAGCCCTGCCAGGTACAATGGCAGTGGTGGAGGAAATACTGCAGTGAGCTTTACCAAACTGTAAAATGAACTGGGGCAATTAATTTTTGATGAGATTCGCTTGTTGGCGCTCATACCCTAGCCCCGCGGCTCCCAATTTGTGGTACGCGTACCACCAACGGTATGCAGACAACCTGTCGGGTACACATTCACAGATTTACCGTAACAACTTTGTAGAACAAAAATTTGCTGGTGGTACTTAAGGTCGTATCATTTTAAATCGGTGACGTGCAATTTGTCAGAGTTTGGGAACCGCTGCCCTAGCCCAACACAGCCAGGCCAGGGGTTGTACTGCAAGCAGAAAACATTTTCATTGCTTTACTAGTTGTGTTGAAGCTATTTCCATCGTGGTCGTTCATTGATCTTTAACGAATGCAGTTTGGTGCTAGGGCTGTTACCTGACCGGCCCCCACGCCCCACACCCCGCCCTACAGACAACGCGACTCTTCCTCTCGCTAAGTTGAAAGAAAGGGGAGAGAAGACTTTCGTGCCATCGACCTTGCAAGGAGGAGGATTCCTGTTGGTTTATTAAGCCGCACCTCGCACGCCCACCGCGCCGTTACGCAAACGCGAGAGAGCCCCGGACACGCCCGTGGGGCAGAGCCTCTCCGTGCCGCGCAGGCACTGCTCGGGACGGGCTCGGGGGTGGCTGACGAGAGTCCGCTGGGCCGGCGGGGGGAGGCCTCTCGCTCAGTGCCCCGCTTTCTGCAGGAGCTGGGAGAATCGCTGGGTGACAGACAGGGTGGTGTCGATGAACCGGTCCACGCAGCTGGCCAGGCAGCTCTCCGTGCGATGGTCCAGCTTCGAGCCGGGCTTGTCCACGCACTTGTCCCAGCACACCTCCATGAAGTCGTGCACCTGCGGGCGGGACGGCTGCTCACAGCCCGCTCAGCACTCCCCCTCCCCCCCGGGCGGCGGCGTGCCCAGGCCTCCCCTGGCTCCGGGGCCTCCCATCTCCATCCCGGTGCCTTTCTTTACATACGGTCAATAACCTGGGCTGGGGGTGGGAGCCCAAAGCTGCCCGCGCGGGGGAGGGAGAGAGGGGGTCACCTGAGCCGTGAACTGCGCGCGCTTCTGCTCGGCCGCCACCAGTTCCCGCAGCTCGGACACGGCGCGCTCCCCGCTGCCAGGCTCCGCCATGGCCGCGCCGCCGGCACAGGACGCGCT